CTTACTAATGGAAGCACAAAACATCACCAAAATTCTTTTTGCAAGCAGGTTGTGGCAACTCATTTCAGCTACTGCCTGTTATTTCTGAGTAACCATAGAAATGTAGACATTGCCAAGATACTGTTGTCAAACAAGTGAAGAATGAGGCAGTTGCTAGTCAGCACTGTGGCAACCCCTGACTTTATTCTGAACTTATTTGCTGGCAAAGTGAGAAGGAGGCAAGGAATGTTTTGTTCCCCTGTCCAGCGATCTGGATAGTATTGGGCTACAGCTTATTTCTTTCTTCCAAGCTTTAATATGTTTTGGAGAAGTCAAAATCAGCACATTTTTGTATGCACGGTTTCCACTTGTGTTAAGTGAATTAGTGTATTCTCCTTGTAAAAGCAATCCTTCCCATTCACCCCTCAAAAGGATATGCTCTCATTTCCACCACTATAATACTGGCAAAATGCTTGGGAATGAAACAGAAGGCCAAGGCACTGAGCCACGACACCACTGGGGTTACTGGTAAATGATGCCCTGTGTGCTTTATGTGCACATGTTTGAACTCAAGCACATTCTGACATAGATCTCTAAGGGATCTTTGAACCATGGCAATTGGCATGTCTTTGCACATACACAATGAATGCACTAGGGAATAGTAAATATTACAGTAGAGCTATATAAATGGAAACAAACTATATGTGCTTCAGAAATATTATGGGTAAGTACCAACTCCAAAGCAAACTTGCTAGGCCAAGAGGGCTGTAAGAATGAGGGTACTACAAACTGCAAGACCTGGGTAAATGATGAGAAGATCTTTTCGTAAACTTTTCCTAACACACATGCCACAAATAAAAGGAATTAGGAGCTACCAAAGCATGGAGAGAATTCAGGTTGCCAGAAAATATCTTTCCTTAGTCTAGTTAGACTGTTGTGAAGTTAGAGGGTGCTGCAATGTGAAGTATAGAGAAATCATAAGAAATAAAAATCTAACAAAGGTCCTAGGCCAGAACCAGACATTTAGGAGAGATAGATTGATAAGATTCTCTAGCCAAATACTGGATTCTGAGTGTTTCAGAAAGTGGATCAGCTACAGTAAGTCTGATATCTGGCAGTTTTCAGGCCTTTGGTAAAGAAAGAAGTTGGCAAAAGGAAATAATTACCCTAGAACTGCTGGAAGGGGCTTTATAGATCATCAAGTCCAGCCATTGTCAAAGAGGCACAAAGGAGAATTGATTTCCTAACTTCTGTAATGCTTCAGTGGATTTTCATGAGCACAGAGCAGGCAGCTTCAAGCAAAGCTGGAACCATATGTAGAGCCATATCTGAATGCATCATTTCAGAGTGGTTTACTAATATTTTGCTGGTTGCATTATCTACATCTGAGAAGGCTCATTTGAATGGAATTATTTAGAACCACATTTCTCATCATTTTCTATGTGCTGGAGGCTTTGTTGAGAATCTGACCCATTTCCTCATTAATGAACGCCATCCTGTCCTTGGACTGTGGCATCCATAGTATCTCCCAAACAGGATTTCAGTTTAACAAGCATCTCTGTGGCATGCAGGCACACAAATGTATATAAAAACCACAAGAGGTTCTTTGACCCATGTCTAGCATTTGGAGTCCTCTGCATTTGTACTATCTTCTGCATTGTCCTCTCCCCTGAATCGTAACAAGTGGGTCATAATAAATAATTACAACCTGTGGCGCTTGCCCTTGTGGCCCCTGTTTTATTTCTTCCTCACAAAGGCTCATGCTCCTTCTCCCTCTTCACGCTGCCACCAGATGTTTCTTTAACATCAATAAAGTACTGGACACTTATGCTGCCAAACACAATCAGTTTATTGAACAGGGTGGGGTTAATATTCAGCAGGGAATTGCAGTATAAATCACAGGAAGTGAATCACATATATTAAACAAGGTTTGGTTCACTCAAATCACTCTTTTAACTCTATCTATCTCTGACCCTCCTGGCCCAATTCCCAAGCCCCCTGCTCTCTAACCCTCTTTTCAGCCTCTCTCTCTTCCTTCCCGACTCCTCAAACTCCTCTCTGGCCCCACTTTCCGGTCTCTCCATTGGCTCTCCCATCAAGGTTCCGCCGTGATGGACAGGTGAAGTCTGGGCTATCTGGTACACAACCTAACATTCAATACTTGCTTCAGTAATTAAAACTCAGAAGTGCTGGTGTCAATAGAATCTGGCTGCTACCCTATAAACTTTGTGGAATTAGTATCTCTTGTATGCATATATACAGTGGCTCTGGAGGAGAGAACACAGAAGATGGTGCTGGGGGCTCCTGGCAGCTGGATGGTGGTTTCTATTTTTTCAGGGTTCTATTTTGTCTCCCATGTTGTTTTATATCTACCTGAAACCACTGCCCAGAGTTTTGAGGTTTTGTGTCACCAGCATGTAGATGACACCCACCTGTCCTTGCAATTCAAATCTGAGGAAGCTGCTTCAGCTCTAGACCAGTGTCTGATGTCAGTAATCGACTGGATGGTAGTTAATAAAAGCTGAAACTTAATCCAGACAAAACAGGTGCTCCTGCTCGGTCAAAAGGCAGATCAGGTAATAGGGCTGCAGCCTATGCTGGATGGACTTGCACTCCTAAAAACAGAGGTGTGCAACTGGGAGGTGCTTCTGAATTCATCTTTGAGCCAGGATTCCCAGGTTTTGGTGGTGGCCAGGAGTGGCTTTGCACAATTAAAACAAGTGTGTCGGCTGAGCCCATTCCTGGAAAGGTCTGATCAGGCTACAGTTACACATTCATTGGTTACATCCTGGCTGGATTACAGTGACATCCTCTACATCAGTGGTGTTGAACTGTGGCCCTCCAGATGTTCTTGGACTTCAACTCCCAGAAGCCTTCATCACCACCTCTGCTGGCCAGGATTTCTGGGAGTTGAAGGCCAAGAACATCTGGAGGGCCACAGTTCGACACCACTGCTCTACATGTAGCTGCCTCTGCAAAGTGTCAGGAAACTTCAGTGGGTCCAAAATGTGGCATCCAGATTGCTAACTGGGACTATTAACAGGAATCGTATAATCCACCCACCCCCATTACTGCAGTTCCACTGTTGCTGATCCATTTCTGGGCACGGTTCAAAGTGCTGGTTCCAACCTATAAAGCCCTAAATGGCTTGGGTTTAAATTATCTCAAGGACTGTGTCTCTCTTTATGAGTTTGCCTGGGTGTTAAGATCATTGGGAGAGGCATTGTTCTCAGCCCCACCGCCTTCACAGAGGTTTTTGGTGGAGAAACAGGAGAAGGCCTTCACCGTTTCTGCTCCCAGACTTTGGAAAGCCAGGTTGGCTCCATCTGTGCTGTTTTTCCACAAGCAGGTGAAGATCTTTCGCTTCAGGCAGGTTTTTCCTTAATTGATGGCCTGCCTCAATGGGATTTTTAAGTGGATTGTTGTGCCTTACTGCTTTGAATATGTTTTGGTGTTACTTTTGTTCATCAACTTTTAGTGTTGTATTTGATATATTTTTAGTATTTGTATATATAACTGTTTTTAGCATTAAATGTTGTCTTTTAATGTTGTAAGCCACCTTGGGTTCTTTTAAAGGAGAAAGGTAGAGTTAAAATATTTTAAATAAATATGCAGCCTTATAAACTCTTACATTGCATTAGGAAGATGCATATCAGCTTTCCACTTATCTTTTCTCATTAATTATGATGAGATTCTGGTCAAGTTCTGAGTAATGTGATGATGCATCTTTCTGGGAATAACAAAACAAGCCAACTAATGAATCTCAAATGTTTTCATTGCCTTGACCTGAACTTGACCGAAGCAAGTTGTTGCAGCCAGAGATTTTTCTTCAGACAAAGCCCAGACGTGATGTTAAGCCTATGTTTTTGTCTTGGATAGAGATACAGTAACTGGGCGTTTACTAAAAGAAGAAGAAGAAGAAGAAGAAGAACATCTTGTTTTAAGCAGGCAGCCAAGTACTTAACTGTCTAAAATATGGCTTGAGAATAAGTGGTAAGAAAATAAGACATGTGTATAGTCAAAGGAAACAAAATGTTTAGAAAACTTTGTAGATCACCCATGTTAACATCTTAGCTAACACAGCATATCTTATTATAGATATGCACACAAATGTATATAAAAATGTAGATAACTACATTCATTCTGCTGCCTTAAAAAGAAGAAAAAAAGAACTGCACAAAAGATCAGCTTTTACACCCTAATTTGGTTAACAAGGTCCACCTTAACACATTTCAAGTATTATGCTTTTTAGCCCGTTGTAGGGGCTGAAAATTAGGATATGATTAGACAGTGAAGTTATCCTGGGTTGGATCAGGCTAAACAGTGTCACCTGAACGTGTGATCTGAAATTTAGAACAATCATTGCATCCATATACAAGGATCTGGTTGTTTCAGGACAGAAAGTCAGACCACATTTCAAAGTGACCCTATTTAGCATTTTCTTCCCTCACAGTCCCCATGACCCTGCCTTCTGTTCTGTTCCTTCTCCACAGGGAGTGAGAAAAAGCTGGATTTTATTTATTTTATCATCTGTTTGTATATGATTTTACTGGCTTGAGAATGAAATGAAATAGCACTGGATTCTAAAGAAAATGGGGGTGGAGGGAGAGATCTTCCTCTACCTCCTTTTCTGTAAGGCGACTATTATTATTATTAAATGATAAGTGACAAATCACTTCATTGGTTTACTACCAAAGTGAAATAGACTGGATTTTTTTTAAAAAAAGAAACAAAAATTTTGCTCTCTGCCTCCTGTCTTGTCACCCACTCTGCAGGGAGAAGGGGAAAGCTAGATTCTCCTTCGTGGCCTCTGTGAATGCACACTAATGGGTTAATCTGTGCACGAGCAGAGCAGTCTTGGAAACTTTCACAACTTTAAGCACTTAGACCTTAGCCCCTACCCTGCACTAATTTTCCATATAGGAGATCTTTTGGAATCCATCCAACAGCCATTCTCACAACATAAGCATTATGAAGAAAAAATAACAACAGAGTTAAACACAAAAATTTACAATTCTGTTGACTTTAATTTTTGTACAGTAGAAACATACAGTACTTGTCATAAGTATACAATTTGTATAATAATGCTTTCCAATACAATGAAAAATAATTTTAAACTCCTGAAAAACTGTGCACCTTCTCAACATTATAGCCTTGTTTTGTACACAGTTTAGAGTTTATACCAGCCAATAATTCTATAAGAATCATTTACTACATTCCACTTCTGCATGACCTTGGCATAAACTAGCCTGTGACCAAAACCAGATTAACCATACAGCATAATGGAGGAATAGCTTAGCCTGCAATAGAATAATTTTATACTTTTAATACTTTAGCACTTCTTGTTGCAGAGAACAGCTTGGAAATATGTAGGTTTCACATTCTGAAATCTTGGTCAAATGACACTTGGTGACAAAGAGAGTGAGGTTTCAATGTCTTACATAGTTTCTTGTCCACTTATTAGCTATTCTTTCCTACACAGGTGTTCTAATGTTCATACACCTTTAATGGCTGCTCCCTTTGTCTCTCCATACCCCACTATGGTTCTCTTCAGTCTAACCTTTAATGTTGGGGAATAAGAATAAGCAAGAGCAAAGTAACATTAGGTGCTTTTAGAGGGTGGCAGAATGTTTAAGCTCAAGAAAAATAATATTTTTTCAGGACCAGATTTGCTACCCAACTTTCAATCAGTTATGTAAATTATGTGTTTACCTCCTAGTGATCAGACTTGAAACAAAGCAAGCTAATTTGCATGATAGAAGGGTGAGAAATGCTCAGATTAAAAGAAACCCAGGTTTTCAATATTTAAAGAATCTCTATTTAATGGGAGCTGAGCATATTCTCTACTTTGAGTCAAATGTTGGCTGTGGGATGGAGCTCAAATGCAAATTTGTATGTCTACAGTGGTAACAATTGGGGAGGAACAAAAGTTGGCGTGCTCCTAGCTGTGTTTCATCATTGATGACAAATGGGTACTAGCACCCCATTCTAATTTCAAACACACACTTCTTCATTATTTGCACACTCTAATCATGTTTCCCTTGCTAAGGTCACTCAATTTGCATGGAAGGCTTGCATCCTGTGCACACACATGCACCGAGAGAGAGATTTAAATGCAGTAAATCCCTAAACTGCTTACATACCTTTCTCCACGCCAAGGTTTTCAAAAGATGCAGCTCTACAGCACACCCTGTTAACTCTGCCCTGCACACTTAAGAGCCAACTGCTTTTAATCCAGATGAAAGAAGAGGCAGAGATTTCACTCTTAATTATGTTTGAAATATTCAACATAACTCTTTCAGCATGCAGCAATGCTTCTCACAGAAGCTGTTGGGTACAGCAGCCAGCTCTGGGATGTCACATGGGACCTCATAATGTCAGTACCATTTTTCTTTTCTCATTTTAGGTGGCAGAACCTCTCAAGTGAAGAGAAGTTCCTTCACAAAAAACATCAAACATCAGGCTTGATGTTTGTTTTTCTCCTGAACAAACTACTTTTGCTTGAAGGAAGTGTTTTCTTTGCTTCCACATTCACCTGTGTTGCAACTTCAGTATTGACATACAAATCGCTCTTGTGGTCATGTTACCTCCAATGTTTCCTTCCTTCTGAGTGGGTGACCCTGTTCTTCTTCTGAGAATTACTATGTCCCCAGTTCTATTCATGTAACTGAAGACTTTGCAGAGCAAATACAATGTTTCACATTTGAGCCAGATTGCCAAGAGTTCCATTTTGGGTCAGACTGGCTTAGGCTGCTACTCACAAACCATACAAAAGCCAGTGTAGGGCTGTGTAAAGTCCACAAAGGCTCAGGTGGGGTGGGGGTAATAATCCAAAAGCAAATTTTGCAGACAGAAGCAATATTTAACTGCATAGTGCATAATTCTAATTAAGCATAAATATTTTCCTCAAATCAGAAGAATCATGACCAGTTTGAGTTCCTTCCAAAAATCATAACCTATGTGAAGTCCAATGTGCAGAACTCCTATCATCAATCTGCAGTAACTTGAAATATGAAATGTGAAGTAGTAGTGCTGCTGAAGCCTCATCCGTTGTTATCTATCAGGCACAGCACTGGCAAAACCATCAGCCATGAAAAGGCACAATTACTGTCACTATAAAGGAGGTATCTGATGTTCCAGAATAAATGAGTTTAATTGTTTCACAACAATCTTCCTCAGTTTGGTTTACATAAGAACTTCTGGTTCAATATTAAACAACAAATCATCATTCCCCCTTCTAACTTCAAGTAGCAGAGGTGACTCATTTATCACTGCCTCTTGCAGGTCAGCAGAAGTTTTCAGTGGTCGTCCATTCACTTTAACAATGATATCTCCATCCTGAATACCACCTCTGTGTTGTCAAAAGAAAAACAGATATAAGCAAAAGTTCATTTCTCCTTACCATAAATACACTGATCAGCCAGAACATTAGAACCACTTGCCTAATATCATGTAGGTCCCCCTCATGCTGCCAAGATAGCTCTGACAGGTCAAAGCATGGACTCCACAAGACCTCTGAACTTATCCTATGGCATTTGTCATCAAGACAGTAGTAGATCCTTTAAGTCCTGCAAGTTGTGAGGTGGAGCCTCCATGGATCAGATTTGGTGTTCTAGCACATCCCATAGGATCTCGGGAATCTGGAGGCCAAGGCAACTCCTTGAACTCTTTGTCATGTTCCTCAAACCATTCCTGAACATTTTTTGCAGCAAGGCAGGGTACATTATCCTGCTGAAAGAGGCCACTGCTATCTGGGAACACCATGGCCATGAAGGGGTATATGTACTCTCCAACAATATCTAGGCAGATGATCTGTGTCAAAGTAACATCCATGAATGCCAAGACCCAAGGTTTTCCACCAGAATGTTGCCCGGATCACAACACTGCCTCTGCCAGTTGTTCTTCTTCCCATAGTGCAGCCTGCTGCCATTTCTTCCCCAAGTAAACAACACACATGCACCCAACCATCCACCTGATCTAAAAGAAAACATGATTCATCAGACCAGACAACCTTCTTCCATTGCTCCATGGTCCAGTTCTGATGCTCATGTCCATTGTAGGTACTTTCAGCAGTAGACAAGAGTCATCATGGGCATCTGACCAGTCTAAAGCTATGCAGCTCCATATTCAGCAAACTGCAATGCACTGTGTGTTCTGCCACCTTTCTATCATGGCCAGCATTATGTTTTTCAGCACTTCAAGCTGCAGTTTCTCTTCAATGTGATTGGGCAAGACAGGCTAGCCTTCACTCCCCACATTCATCAAAGAGCCACGGGCACCTGCAACTCTGATGCTGGTTCACCAGCTGTCCATCCTTGCAACATTTTTGGTAGGTACTAACCACTGCATACTGGGAACACCCCACCAGACTTGCCATTTTGGAGATGCTTTGACCCAGTCGTCTAGCCATCACTATTTGGCCCTTGTCAAAGTCACTCATATCTTTTTACTTGCCCATATTTCCTGCTTCCAACTCATGAAATTCAAGAACTGGCGGTTCACTTGCTGCCTAATGTATCCCACTTCTTCACAGGTGCCACTGTAACAATATCATCAATGCTATTCATTTCACCTGTCAGTGGTTTTAACGCTGTGGCTGATCGGTGTATAACAGGCCTCCATTGTCTCAATATGTTTTTATAGGAGGCTTTTTCTGTCAACTCAGACTGACACTTAAAAATTAACATCGCCTAGTTTACTGCAACTGAAACTGAAAGTAGGAATCTCATTTCAAGTTTAGAATAAAAATAAGTCAACCACAAGTTGAGCCTTAATGTAGAAGTGCTTCTGTTGGTTTTGCTGCACTTGGTTTATGTAGAGCAACTGTTTCAATTTGGAACCTTAATACCTCTGTGATGGTGAATTTGGAATAACTTCATGTACATAAATTCCACTACTGACGTCTGGGAAATCTGGATTATTAAGCTTAAGTTCTTCTACTAATCTAAAAACAAAACACACACAAAAAGACAAATATTACTAAAAAGTGAATCATTATATTACGATTGCCATAGCCATTCTTCTTTCATGCAATCAATCAACCAATTTATTTTATTTATTTAAAATATTTTCCTCTTAAAAAGGCCTATGGCAGCTTACATCTTTAAAAAGACAATATTTAAAAGCTAAAAACAGTAAGGATACAAATATTAAGAGAGAATTAAGTATTATATTGAAAATGGTAAATAAAATAAATACTAAAAACACATTTGAAAACAAGAAGATATAACTATCCATTTGTAGCCAGTCACAATCAATGAATTAAACAATCATCCCCATATGCATTTGATCTGAAAACCAAGGATTTTTACCCCAGTGGATTATTTTATCTATAATAGCTCAGTTACATTTTGTTAAATTAACACTAAATAACTCATCAAGCACAGGCTATTAATACACACTGACACCAATGGAAGACCAAGTGGGTAAGTCTGGTTGTGTTTTTTATTGTTTTAGTAACAGAACGAGAGATTGGTGATGGTAGGGGCACAGGACCATTAGGAAAAATATATCTATTCATTGTGTGGGTAGCAGGACGATTGCCAAATGAAAGAAGAGCTCTCCCTCTCCAATACAGGCCTTTGCAGGTTTAGAGAGTCTCTCAGCTGTTGTTTACTATACATGCGGAAATTAAAACAGCTACCCATGATTAGACCAGAGTGGGGCCAACAGCTGTGTCTGTACGATACCCAGGCTGAGCTATTTAATTCTGGCTGTGTACACCATACAAAAGCAACTTAAACTATGGGATGGGTGGGTGGAGGTAGAGAGGTTGTGACTGCTGTTGCTGCCACCACTATCTTCATGTTGTTGTTGTTTCGTCATTAATCTATGTCCGACTCTTCGTGACCCCATGGACCAGAGCATGCCAGGCCCTCCTGTCTTCCACTGCCTCCCAGAGATGGGTCAAATTCATGTTGGTAGTTTCAGTGACAATGTCCAACCATCTCATCCTCTGTCGTCCCCTTCTCCTCTTCCCTTCCCACTTTCCCAACATTAAGGTCTTTTCCAGGGAGTCCTCTCTTCTCATGAGATGGCCAAAGTACTGGAGCCTCAGCTTCAGGATCTGTCCTTCCAATGCGCACTCAGGGTTGATTTCCTTCAAAACGGATAGTTTTGATCTCCTTGCAGTCCAGGTGTCTCCTCCAGCACCACAATTCAAACACATCAATTTTTGGTGGTCAGCCTTCTTTATAGTCTAGCTCTCACTTCCATACATCAGTACTGGAAAAACCATGGCTTTCACTATGCTGACTTTTGTTGGCAAGGTGATCTCTGATTTTTTAAGATGCTGTCGAGTTTTGACATCACTTTCCTCCCAAGAGGCAGGCGTATTTTAATTTCATGGCTGCTGTCACCATCTGCAGTGATCACGGAGCCCTAGAAGGTAAAATCTGTCACTGCTTCCATATCTTCCCCTTCTATTTCCCAGGAGGTGATAGGACCAGTGGCCATGATCTTAGTTGAGCTTCAGACCGTTTTTGGCGCTCTCCTCTTTCACCCATATTAAGAGGTTCTTTAATACCTCCTCACTTTCTGCCGTCAGAGTGGTACCATCTGCATATCTGAGGTTGTTGATATTTCTTCCGGCAATCTTAATTCCATCTTGGAATTCATCCAGTCCTGCCTTTCGCATGATGTATTCTGCATATAAGTTAAATAAGCAGGGAGACAATATAAGCTTTGTCTGTACTCCTTTCCCAATTTTGAACCAATCAGTTGTTCCATATCCAGTTCTAACTGTTGCTTCCTGTCCCAAATAGAGATTTCTCAGGATAAGGTGGTCAGGCACTCCCATTTCTTTAAGTACCTGCCATAGTTTACTGTGGTCCACACAGTCCAAGGCTTTTGCGTAGTCAATGAAGCAGAAGTAAATGTTTTTCTGGAACTCTCTGGCTTTCTCCATAATCCAGCACATGTTAGCAATTTGGTCTCTAGTTCCTCTGCCCCTTCAAAATCCAGCTTGTACTTCTGGGAGTTCTCGGATCACATACTGCTGAAGTCTACCTTGTAGGATTTTGAGCATAACCTTGCTAGTGTGTGAAATGAGTGCAATGGTATGGTAGTTGGAGAATTCTTTGGCACGGCCCTTGTTTGGGATTGGGATGTAGACTGATCTTTTCCAATCCTCTGGCCACTGATGAGTTTTCCAAACTTGCTGGCATATTGAGTGTAGCACCTTAACAGCATCATCTTTTAAGATATTAAATAGTTCAACTGGAATGCCATCACCTCCACTGGCCTTGTTGTTAGCCAGGCTTTCTAAGGCCCACTTGACTTCACTCTCCAGGATGTCTGGCTCAAGGTCAGCAACCACACTATCTGGGTTGTCTGGGACATTCAGAAATTTCTGGTATAATTCCTCTGTGTATTCTTGCCACCTCTTCTTGATGACTTCTGCTTCTGTAAGGTCCCTACCATTTTTGTCCTTTATCATGGCCATCTTTGCACAAAATGTTCCTTTAATATCTCTAATTTTCTTGAAGAGATCTCTGGTTTTTTCCTTTCTATTATTTTCCTCTATTTCTTTGCACTGTTAATTTAAGAAGGCCCTCTTGTTTCTCCTTGCTATTCTTTGGAAGTTGGCATTCAGTTTTCCCTATCTCCCTTGCATTTTGTTTCCCTTCTCTTCTCTACTATTTGTAAGGCCTTGTTGGCCAGCCACTTTGATTTCTTGCATTTCCTTTTCTTTGGAATGGTTTTTGTTGCTGCCTCCTGTACAATGTTACAAGCCTCCATCCAAAGTTCTTCAGGCACTCTGTCCACCAAATCTAGTTCCTTAAATCTGTTCTTCACTTCCACTGTGAATTCAAAAGGGATTTGGTTTAGCTTATACCTGACTAGCCCAGTGGTTTTTCCTACTTTCCTCAGTTTAAGCTTGAATTTTGCTATAAGAAGCTGATGATCAGAGCCACAATCAGCTCCAGGTCTTGATTTTGCTGGCTGTATAAAGCTTCTCCATCTTTGGCTGCACAGAATATAATCAATCTGATTTCGGTACTGCCCATCTGGTGATGTCTATGTGTAAAGTCTTGTGTTGTTGGAAAAGAGTGTTTGTGATGACCAGCTTGTTCTCTTGACAAAACTCTATTAGCCTTTGCCCATCTTTGTTTTGAACTCCAAGGCCAAACTTATCTGTTATTCCTTTTATCTCTTGACTCCCTACTTTAGCATTCGAGTCCTCTATAATGACAAGAACATCTTTCTTTGGTGTCAGTTCTAGAAGGTGTTGTAGGTCTTCACAGAATTGGTCAGTTTCAGCCTCTTCAGCATTAGTGGCTGGTGCATAAACTTGGATTACTGTGATGTTAAAAGATCTGCCTTGGATTCGTATTGAAATCATTCTATCATTTTTGAGATTGTATACCAATTGAATTGAATTGAATTTGCCCATTCGCATCCATTTTAGTTCACTGACACCCAGGATGTCAATATTTATTCTTGCCATCTCCTGTTTGACCACATCCAGCTTACCAAGGTTCCTAGATGTTACATTCCAGGTTCCTATGCAATATTTGCAGCATCGGAATTTCCTTTCACTTTCAGGCACGTCCACAGCTGAGTGTCCTTTTGGCTTTGGCCCAGCCACTTCATTAGCTCTGGAACTACTTGTACTTGTCCTCCACTTTTCGTCAGTAGGATGTTGGATGCCTTCTGACCTGAGGGGCTCAGCTTCCAGTGTCATATCTTTTAGCCTTTTGTTTCTGTCCATGGAGTTTTCTTGGCAAAGATACTGGAGTGGCTTGCCAGTTCGTGCTCCAGGTGGATCACGTTTAGTCAGAACTCTCCACTATGACCTGTCTGTCTTGGGTGTCCTTGCACGGCATAGCCCATAGCTTCTCTGAATTACTTGACTCCTTTCGCCACGGCAAGGCAGCAAACTATGAAGGCGACTACAGTCATAGGGCACTGTAGCCTTGGTTGCTACCTGAACATGCTGGCTCCTGACTGGCCTAAGATTGGCCCTGTTTCTTTATGATAGGAATGGGGAGCCTAGCACTACAACCCTGCACAGGAGAAACTTACATTTCAAATGTAATTACAGACATAAATTATAGCAGCTCAAGATGTTCTACATTTGAATACACAATAAGGGACTTACACAGGTGTGATTGTCATCATTCTTATACCAATAAATTTTTTCCCATCTGGAATAAAAATAAGAAACCCTATTAGGAATTTCTGAGAATGACTTAAGCACAATATTAGAACCAAATAAAAATCAAGCAGATCATCAAAGGTGATATCCCATGTTTCACCTGGGATAACTGTTTCACAGGCAGAACCCACCACTTATAGTCAGTCACACAACATGTTTGGGGGAATTCACCCCAAGTTCACTCCATGGACGGTCACTCTCCATTGCTCCAGTAGAACCTAATGATCTGTGACATATTCAGGTTCTAATGAAATCAATGGGATTTGTTCATTTAACTCCAAGAGCTTTGCTAGTTTCTGGATATGATCTAAAGAATAATTGGGCTGACTTCCAGATCTTTATAGAATCATCCCAGATGTGCAGAAATAAAAAGGTGTTGGTCATTCAAATAAGCATACCACATTTGCATCCAATGCCTGGAAAAGCTGCTAGTTTCAAGTGAGTTGTCTCAAATGCCACAAAGCCAGAAAATTAGATGTTAAGGTAATGCTTAAAGTATATGCCCCATGATCATTGTGCACTGCCACAAAATGGATCATAGGATATGTACCAAGAAAGTCTATTTTGGTAGGTACAGAGGAGGAATCAATACACACTGGGTGCAGCCCTTAATCACCCAGAAAAGATGCAAAGAATCACATGAATTTCATATAGCAGGAGGAAGGATTTTGCCCCTCACCATCAGTCTTCAGCATGCATATTCCCATCTAGACCAAACTCTAATCTGGGCAGCTAACAATAATTCAGAAAATTAAAAAAATATAATAAAATAAAGACACTTGTAATAATATAATTCAAGATGGTGAAAGTAATTAGGTGACGACATTAAGATATTAATGTAATGCAATATCTACATAACTGATAAAATAATAACCAAGAAGGACAGAGTATTGAAATAAGTACCAGAAGATCAAGCTACAAACCAGATACACAGAAGAGAGAGAAATATTCTGCAGGCCAAAGCAAAATGTTATAAATTAAATGGACATAAATATAGGCACATCTTCTTGGTAGGCATCCAGTGTTCCTTCCACTGGGTGGTGCAGAGAAATGGTGACATACCCAAGCCCATAGACAACTATGGAAGAATCAAGGGCAACTACAGTAAAACACTCTGGAGAAAAGTGTACCTATGATTGGCACCTATCACTTTTTTTAAAGCTTGAAGAACATGGAGGGTGTACTCCACATTGCTTCCTTGTAAATTTCATGGACAGACATGTTGGAAGAAAATACAATAGAAGCTGCCACTGTTGTTGTGGAAGCACATGTTAAGATGTACAGTGGTGCCTCGCTTGACGAGGATAATCCGTTCCAGCAACGCTGTAGAATGAAATCGCCGTCAAACGAAGGTAAAAAGCCCACTGAAACCCATTGAAAACCGCTCAATGTGTTCCAATGGGCAAAATGCCTCAGCGTCCAGTGAAGATCCTCCATAGGGCGGCCATTTTCTGGTGCCTGTAATGCGAGGAATCTGTCCTAAGCACAGCAGGGAGCCATTTTGAACAGCGGGTGGCCATTTTGAAACCTGACGATCAGCTGTTTTCTGATCATCATAAAGCGAAAAATCAGTTCCCAAAGCAGGGAACCGATAATCGTGAAGCGGTTTTCCCCCATTCAATCATCATTTTGCGATTGCAATAGCGATCGCAAAAAACACATCGTGAAGCAATTTCATGGTTAAACGGGGTAATCGTTAAGCGGGGCACCACTGTAATGGGTTGGAAATACCATGGTGAGTGCAAGAATGCAAGCTTTAATCCAAAATGACAGGGTTGTTTTAGAGAACTTGCTGTCATGAGAGGCCTTGTGGAATGGGACAGAAAGTTCATCAGAGCACCAAAGGGACTTAGTTCTAGTCAAATCTTAATGTGTAGCTTTGTAGCAATGTAATCAGGCTCCAGAAATATTTTATTGAAATTCATAGAAAGTTTCCCATCCCCTCTTTCAAGTTCTGAGGCTCCATGGGGCTCCCTTTTGCCCTGGGCAAATCTTGGGGGCATCAGGACATGGGAAGCCTTTAATAGTTAAAAAAAAAACCACGATCTAGATTGCTGCCACTGGGATTCTTGAACTACTATCAACCTGAGCCCTCAAATGAATGATTCTTGTTGGACTGAAATGGTTCTTGCTGAAATTAATTAGGTAACTTGTCTTCAGTCTCATAGAAAGTATCTGGCCTTGTCCAGAAGAAACCCTCTCAACAAGATGCCATTCAAGGGGTACAGGCATACCCCCACAACTGAGGCAGAGGTGCACCTGATTGCAGACACAGATTACTGATAACAAAGCCACACTAATTTCTGGAGAAAACAGATATTTATTGCTCAATTGAATAAGGAGTTGCTAAACTGGAAAAGAAACAGAACTCCTTTCTGTACTGTTTTAAGAGGGAAGAAGGCATCACTGGTGGTGGGGTTTGGACATGGTCCTTCTACACTCCAAACCAATTAAAATTAAACCTACTGCCTCTGCAGACAGGTGAAGGAGTATGAGATGAAGCTGTTGTCAAGAGAATATTAGCATTAGCTGAAAAGTGGCAAGTGTGAGGTTCGAGTAAAACAACACAGCACCTGTTTGCTGCAGTTTTAATAGAGTGCAGAACAGTGGGTGGTACCCTTAGCAAGGAAGACATACAACAATCCATCTCCTCATTGCTCCCCTACTTTGTCGTCAAATCTTTTGTCATCTTTTTTTGGACTGCTCTGCCAAGGCTGGGAGTGATTGGTGGAGAAGGTCCAGAGGCTGCAAGCAGGGGCACTTTCCTCTTTAACTTTCCTCTTTACTGTGACTGCTCACAAGATACTCAGTTCTGTATTTGGCAAGAGCAGGACAGACCTGCAACAGTGGCATCAACTCAAGGGTCATTTGGGTGGTCAAGCCCACATTCTTCAACAAACAACCAGATCAGCTTCAAAAGCCTTATGCTATTCACTGTCTCATTCGCCTTTGTCCCCACATCCTATCTTATAGACAGAAAAGGGATTATTTTTCCCTTTGAAACTGGAAGAGAAATGAACGGAAGGCACAGGTATGTAATATGAGCAGATAAGCAAGAGAGCTAATAGCAAAGTCACGCGACTGGAACAGGTAAGCAAAGGAGCCAAAGCAGAGTTCTGATCTGGGGAGAAAGACAGATGATGAGGCAGTAGAGTCCTTCCTACTGTTGTTTGAATTCATATGATTTCCTGACTCTTGTTTGGGTAGTGAAGAGAGACGTGTGGATGCTTTCTCTGCAATGCCCAGAGAATGTGCTCGCTTACATCTTGCCCTCCATGCAACCACATACTGCCTTATCTTTCAGGCCACCTGATTTTAGTAGGGGAGGCCATCCTAGTTCTCTATTGCCTTATGGAACTTCTGTGTACCCTCCTGTTTCACTAGAGGAACTCTTCTGTGTGTTGATCCATGCCAGTTTGGCCTTACGATTGACTGGGAGGCCTTATATACACATTGTGGGTATGCTTTTAGTGCCTGCAGTTCTCAGCACCGATACTTTCTTCCTTTTAGTATCCGCTCAGAAATTAAGGCTCAGTATTTTTTAAGAGCACTATAAATTGCTACTGTTTAAAGTGGGTTGGCTTTTGCAAGCCAATGTAGCTAATATGAGTGTGGTTCTTTATCAGCTGAATTTATTAATTTCATCTTTACTGATTTTTTTAAAAAATGTTTCCTTAGTATATGGAGTTCCTTGTAATTAATTCCTACATTTGTTATGCAGCCTGGAGCATATTTTGGATGAAATCAAAGTAGTCTTTTTGTCTGACAGGAACTGAAATGATGAACTAATCTCTGCGGAACAGCTGAGGCAGCAAAGGCTAAAGAATGAGAACCAATGGAGTCTTTCCACAGTTTTCTGCTGTGAGCTGTCAGTTGCAAAGTGTTACTGTCTAGAAGCTATTCTTTCTCCATATGCTCTTATATTTTCCCTGTAGGAAAAGGTGGCAGCATTGTCAAGATTTGGCTTCTTTTGGTTGAGAAAAGATTAAATACCAACTTTTGCAATATTCCCGTAATTCTTCTACAACGTCAGTGGTTGCTATTACTAGGGATCAATGGCTGGCTGCCAGTTCAAGTGGTGATTCGAGTTTCTCATATTACCGTAAGGCACGTTCCTGCCAGTCTCGCTAATATCACTGTGCGCAGGCCTCCACACACAGCTTTACCACTAGACTGGCACCTGTATGTGCAAACATTCTCCTTGCTGATCCAGCAGCAGGGATTGTATCCATAAAACACTTTTTAAAAGGTTACACTCCTGTTGCCATTCATTGTCTTTCTATTCTTTCCAGAACTATGGTCCTATAATTTGGAGTTACTACTATTTGCACATTAAATTTTCTTCCTTTATTAAAATGTGCCTCAGATAGGGATAGTAATTACTTCTGCAGCTGGAGTCTGAGTTTTTCCAGAGCTAGCTGGAATGATATCAGGAATTACATAAGTACTTTAAAATGCTTTAATTATATTTACTGCCACACTTTGGATCCCATCCATTGTCACAGGCAGATATTGAAATATGAGCATGAAAGGTCCCAAGAGCAACTAAGAATGACTGCCTTGCTGGCCAGCTTGGCCCAGGTTCTGGACTTCAACAGACAGTTCTAGCACTTCATTGTCCCGCGTCTCCCAGCTCCAAGGTGAGGACTGAGTCTCCTTGGTTCAACAGCAGCAGAAGAAAAGCTGGCGTAACTGCTTACAGTGTGAAGTCTATTCTGTGCACAAGCACTCCCCAGGGCTATGGATCTAGCAGCCTGAATGGCCATTTGCTGCAATAAGATTATGTGGAGAAAGGAATGGGGAGGGGGGGCAGTAGAGAATGTAGAACAGCAATAGGAGGAATTATATGAAAGGTTTAACAGGGTCTCAGCAACTTGCCACGTAGCAAATTGTTTTGACGCCACTAGTTTCACACATGGCCAAAAGGACTGAAACAGACTCAACACAGAGGGAGGCAGCTGTGCCCCCAGAAAAACTAAAAGCTATCAA